GAGACTTCATTTTTATTGTGCCTAAGTAAGAACACTAGCTTTCTTGAAGTAAATCTTTGATCTTGAAATCTTGATACTTGATCTTGAGAAAAAAAAGACTCTTTTATAGAGTTCTTAGAGTGGAAGAACTTGAGAAAACCTTGGATTGAAGGCTTCTCGTTGTATCTTGAATTTTTGACATGGAATTTTTAGGGTTCTTGATGAATAAGAGGAACCCTAGGTGAGTTTTCATAGAATTTTGAATGTTTAGATTGATAATTATGAAAGGAAAACTAGTCAGTTGAATGATATACTCCTTTAAAACACCCAAAAAAGTCTTTGAATAGGGCTAAAAATCTTGGAAAAGGACCAAAATAACCCTGGAACACGTGCATCAAGTTTTTGAAAAACAATCACAGAAGGCTCCACGATCCGTGGAACATTGTACCATCTGTAGTGGAGGCCGTAAAATAGGTCTTGCCTGTCAGCGCTTCACTGAAACAGGCATAACTTTTTACTCTGAACTCTAGTTAATGCAAACTTGGTGGAGTTGGAAATAAGACTCATAAACCTTTAATGTGATAGGTTATTGGCCACCTAACTTTTTATAAAGATATTATCATTTGAAGTTCACCCAAGTAAATTCTTATATCAAAACTCAACGATAAGGAAGCTTTCAACTCTACTTTGTGGCAGAGGGTTCTTATGACCTTAATTAATCTCCAAATATGTTCCCACACTAAATAATTGACCTTAACATTTAAGCACAATTTAAGAATCACCTGGTAGGACCTTATATGCATATAAAGAATGGTTCAACTCTTAGCTTAGAAATTTTTGGGGTGTTACAAGTAACTCTGAACACCAGGAGCTCATACTATTCTTCGAACACCCAAAGGGCTCTGCATGAACTCCAAATCAATAGAGAGAACTCATACTATGATATGCAGAGTGCATAAGTATAGTATGAGCACCAACAAGCGGAACTCAATAGTCATCAACAATCTAAGCTCCAAAGATAATACAAATATAAATAACAAGTAGTAAGCAAGGTACAACACAAGTAATTAAATAGGATATATACTATGCTAGACATGGAATAAGGAAAAGAAACATAACACAAAGAATAGGGAACTGAGTAAAGAACGAACTGGGAAACAGAAGCCAACAACCTATTCACAAGCAAATTAGGATTCATGAGTCGTCTACCCGGGTCCAGGAGGGCTAACATCCATAATAACTAGACCACAACCTATCAACTAACAGATCAATATCACAAGTATACAAAATATCATCAAACAATAGCCTAACTGGACCCCATAACTCCAAAAGGTACAGGCAACAAACATAACCTAACCGCCCCATAAAATCGAAGGGCGCAAACAATAATCAATTATACTAGTGCTAGGTGATGAATATCAATGCAGGATTTGCAGTAGAACCATTAGTAACCATAAGTAAACAAGTGTATACACCTACCCTCTGTCCTGATTAGCGAGGTAGGACTCGTGCATCTCCATCTTCCTATACAATGGAACACACTACTAGAAGGACTCACAAGGGACACATGATGCCCGTATACACTACCTGGGTCCAAACTAGGTCTTACAACAAGTCCTCTCCATTGCAGTACAATAGGTATAAGTAGCCAAACCATGTCGGAAAGGACATCGACGTGTCGTCTAGTGAAGTAAAAAATGAGTGCATCCCAGATGCCTCTAATGTTTCAAGTAGAAATGAATCACATCCTCAACGCCTCGTAAAAATCTCAAAAATAAATTTATCAAAATGACACAAGTGGTGCGACATTCATTAAAACGAGTTTAGAATAGTAACCAAGTGAAAATATCCCTTCTCCCTAAATGATAATGATGCAAAAGTGCATGAACCTGCATCGTACTACAAAACACATGAGAATGAACAATCAATGGAATGCATGGCATCACCAACATTCTAACAAGGTATTCACAATTAGAAATATAATACCAAACCTACCACACTACCACGGTGGAGAGTACTAACCTGGAATCCATCTGGTCCCTGACCACGGCCTGGGGCCAATAATATAACACAATCTAAATAAGTTATAACAAGCCTACCCCTAATCAATGAGAGAAGAAGTCAAGAAGAGCTTCTAAATCAACAAAGGGAGAAAAAAACAACTCAAAGAACAACACCTTACCCATACACACCACTATGGTTTACAACTGAGCACTACTAAAGCAAACCTATGTCTATAACGAGCCACTAAGGTCTCAAGTACTAACACAAGATAAATGACCTAATACAATCCCTATAGGGAGCAACTTATAACTACAAGGGCGAAAAAATACATCTAAAGATCAACCCCAACCTAATGCCACAAGAATCAATCCTAACATGGCTAAACATGCTAAGGCAAACTACAAGGCTAAACTAAGGTCCTTGTCACCCACAATAAGCCCAATGTTCCTACATGAATCAATAAAAGGTAGAATAATAGAAAGAGGTCTAAAACCTAACAAATATGGTACTAAATCACATGTGATTCATACTAAACATTATCTAAGATGCCAAATTAAAAAAAAAATAGACCAAAGCCTACCTCAAAGCTTATCATGCATGGTCTGAATCCACCGCACAAGAGTTATCCACTTTCGAAATGCCTGTGAACAATACTGCACTACCAAATTATTGATTACCACATAAATAAGGACATTTAGACACTAAAATCCCTATAATTAGAGAAGGACTCAAAAATTGAGTCAAAATGGAAATGTGGGACCCACACTGAAAATCCTAAAATTGACTCCATCAAAATTTCCTAATCGGCCTATTGAGCATGTGTCCTGAAATGGGACACAATTTGATGCCCAGAACACCCTAAACAAGAACATGAAATTTAATTCAACATTAAAGAGATATGGGAGCCCCTTTGAGGAAAGAACTACCTAGAAATGATGCTCCCCTCTCTTCCCTGAACACTTTGATATGTAGCCACATCAATACTAGATGAAACGCAACTTGAATCACCCAAACTAGAGCACCCTAGCTTAACTTATCCATGTTTGAATATTGGAAGAAACGCTGAAAAATGGGTTGAAATAGAAGATATAACATCAGTGATGACCGCTAAAGCGGTCAAGTGTCCGCTAACGCGGTCACAGCTAATGTGGCCAGCTCGCCACAAAAGTGGCCTAACTCCAAAAGGCACCTGTCGTAAAAATGGCGTCCAGGCCACAAGCATAGCTAGTCGGCAACTAAAACGGCCTCCTCTCCTTCAAGGCTTGTCGCTAAAGTGCCTCATAGGTGGCTAACACGGTTGCTGCAAAAGCGGTAAAGGGCAAGAAAGCTCCAAACTTTGAATGGGCCTTGGAACTCATTTGAGGTGTAAACAACACAAACCAAATGTGCTACCCACTTTGAAATGACATTCCAGACTCAATGGAACCATCTAAACATCTATCTAAGGTCGTCATAATGAAAAATGGGTCTCACACCCAAGTTACATTTTAAGCCAAAATCCACAATAGGGCTGAAATGAGACTAAAAGCCTCGGAATCTACATGAAAGGTCACTCTAAACTCAAATCCATGTTTCAAAGCTAACAGAACTGTTTGAATTTCATTCTGAGGCTGTTTTCCAAGAGTTTTGATCAAAAACAACCGTATAAACTCTAGAAGTTCCAAAACATTGAAACTTGCATAAAACTCAAATGATCGACCCAACAACCGAATTATTATTCCAAAAGTCAGTAATGACTTGGGATAGCTATAGGAAATCTTTAAATGCTGAATCGATAAAAAATGGAGGAACTAATCTGGAGGGTCAGTACATTCAACTCACCAAGGCATGAATCCAGTGAAAGTGTATCAAGGTGAACATCTAGAAACATTGCACCTACAAGTGCTTCAACATCACCAAGGCATGAAGCAAGTGCAAGTGTATCAAGAGGTGCACCTAGAACCATTGCACCTATTTCTAACAAAAGACCAAGTGCATCAAGATCACCAAGGCATAGTGCAAGTGCAAGGGGTGCTGGCCTATCATCAAGAACTAGGAGTGGTAGAGGAAGAGGTAGGGGAATGGGAAGTGGAGAGAGAGGCATTAATCATCCACTTTAAAGTTGGTTTACATGTTCTGAAGACAGTACAACACATGTTCTAGGACAAAATGCAAATGTTGCACCAATGGAAAGTGCTACTGCGAGGAAAGGAAAGGGTGTTGGAAACACAACCCAATTTAAAAGGCCAAGAGTAACTGGAATGGGTATGTTTCAAACTGAGAATGATTTCACAACTTTCAATGTAAGTATTGTGATGCATTCATAATGTTTGTTCTATAATAACTTGATAATGTTTGTTCTCTAATAACTTTAATTCTCTAAAACTTTTGTAGCTTGGAATACCAAGTAACATAATATTATGGACTGGACCAAAACGAGTCTTTAAATCTGTATAGTTGTAACTGGAGTTATTGGTTTCAAACCAACAAGTGGATTAAAGTGGAAAAGAAAATCAAGCAATCACAAAAAGAAGGCTTCAGCAGATTAGAGATCAATCACAGCTTTCAAACTCGAATACTTCCTCTTCTTCACAACCTCGAGACTCATGGAAACAATAATGTTGATATCAGTGGTGTTTGTTTAGTACTATTTTGGTGCCACTAAGATACTATTTTGTTTCTTGTTTGAAGGAGAAACAACTATTTTCTATTTTTTGTTATATGTATGAAATAGTACTGAAATTATAGTATTTATGCAATGTTGAAGCTTTGTTTTGCTTTTTAGTTCACTTTCAGAATCGAAGTTGTTTTTGTTGGCCTACAATTATGAGTTGTGTTGTTTCTGTGAAGCTTTGTTTTTGTTTTAGTAGTATTGTTAGTTGCCAATTTTTATAATTTCAAGTTTGGTAGAACTCTTAAACTCAATGAATCATTCGTTTCTAGAAAAGAGCATAAAAGTAAAAAAAATTCAGACACAAGTAAATTCAAATTTTCATTATGCTAGATCAAATTAAGGTATTCAATACCACACAAAATTATGCTCTATTACATATCTTACTATGACAATTTCATTTGATTTCTCTTCAACTTACATACTTGGATTAGAAACTAACAAATATAACAAAGACACAAAACTTCAAACATCAAAGGAATTTGCCAAAAAATCGACAACTTCTTTTCTTCTTTTTCATCCCTTACATTTTCATATGATTCTCTTTCAAATCACAAATTTCTTTTACATTGCCATGCTTCTTTTTTTGAATTGATGTTGGGATTTTCATACCGAATTTGAAGACTTTCAACTTCATCCAAAAAAAAATTATGTTTTCGAATGTTCAATATCCAATGTCCATTGAACTCATGTTGGAATTATCAAGTTGTTCCAATTGCATCTGAATACACTCGTATTGTTCTTCTAACTCCTTAATCTTTTTCACCAATATTGGAAGAATAAATTGAGAACTTTCGTCAACTCTCTCCATCAAAAAATTTGCAATTCATGGCCTCATTGTGAGGACAAGACCAAAATCTACTTCTCAGAATGCGATCGAACCAAGAGGTCTATATTTTCAATAAGATTCCATACTTGCATCGCACTTCAACATTGATCATATTCTCATCCATACACAACTTATTCAACTCAGATTTTTTCATTCCTTACCTAACATTTATGCATAAAAATTGTGAAAGAAATTTTAAATCAGAACTAATAATCAACATAAAAAGGTATACGTATAAAGAATATACACAAAAATAACTAACATTCACGAATCAATGAGCAATTTGTGTCTAATTAAAAGCAATATCAATTAAAATTTAAACTCATATATAAATGATAGGGGACCCAAGAAGATTATGAGCATCAATAGCAAAAAGTTATAAGAAAGTTCATCCAAACTCATGTAAGTGAATTTGATCAGGCTTATTTTACATCATCAATAAGCACAAACCATAAATCATAAACCTCTAAATAGAACTACTGGGGGGGAATACGGGCAACTATGTCACGACCTTAGTCCTCTACTAAGCACATTGCATGGCACTTAACAACTCGATCACGAATCTTTCACGATCTTGCAAGCTCAAGTAAGCCTTTTAAATACTGAGGGTGTGTTTAGTATGAAGGAAACTGTTTTCCATGGAAAATGTTTTCCTAGAAAATGTTTTCTTGGACAACAAAATGGATTTCTAACTTATTTTCTCATGTTTGGTTGGTGAGTTGAAAATATTTTATGGAAAATATTTTTTTATGTTTGTTGGTGAATGAAAAATATATTTTAGAAAATATTTTTTATTTTTGGCTTGAGACTAAAAATTACTCTTTAGGAAAATAATTTTTGATCCAAAAATCAACCCCGATAATTGATCTAGGACCCACTCCGACACCCAAACTAGGACAAGACCCAGATGACGGTTCTAAAATCCGACCCTGAGATCTGACCCAGACTTTCGACCCAAGATATGACCCATGAAATTTTTTTCAAAAACAATTTTTTAAAAAAAAATTGACGGGGTCGCGAGTGTGGGGGGTGGGCTGGAATAAAAAATGATTTTTTTTCTAAAAATTTGAAATATTTTTCAAAATCAATTTTCTTTAATATTTTTTTTGATGGGGAGACCTGTGTAGTGGGAGGGGGTAGGGTAGGGGTGGGAGGTAGCAGGGGAGGAGGGGTAGGGGTGGTGTAAATATGAATTTTTTTAAAATTTGAAATATTTTCCAAACAAAAGTTTTTTTTTAAAAAAATGACGGGGACAGCCTGGGTGTGTTGGGGGGGAGAGGTGTCACGCCCCAAGCTACACCCAAGACGCGGACACGGGACCTAGGACCACAAGTGATCCCAAGCTAACCCTACTGGCATGATCATGAGCATACTAAATATAATCTGAATAATAGAAACTGCGCGGAAGCTAAATCACAAATAAATCTGAAAGATGGGGAATACCCATATACTATAACTGAGATATATGAAAACTGA